AAGACTTTGTGACCATAATGTCTTTTCCCAATGCTTGCTGTTAAGGCAGGACAAGGAAGAGTGTGAAAGGCAGACTGACCGGATTTCATGCCTAGAGCTAATTTATCTTGGTTTCTTGGTTTACGATTGTACCCACTGGAATAGAAGCTTTACAAGGGCACAGAGTCTTGCTCACTACTGTATTTTCATTGCTCCATTCTGCCACTTAGAATAACCCCTGACATAGCATGGACACTCCCACATTGATTGGGTTGTGTTTTTCTATTCATCCAACAGCACACATGTTCTAGGCTGATAAACGAACTTTTCTTTCTTGGTATATCTTCCCCTCCAAGACTTTAGTGGCTGAGCCCTCATCATTCAAGTCTTAACTCAAAATATATGTTAACCCCTCTGTCTGCCCCACATTAAACATTGATTTAATGGACACTTACAGAGTGTGAGTTACTTTTCTGAACACTTTACTAACGTGAAACTTATTTAATTTGTAACAGTCATAATGCTATTTCCAGTTTACAGGTGGGGAAATGGAGGCATAGGAAGGTTCGATAATGTGCTCGAAATCACATAGCTAGGAAGCTGCAGAGCTGGGACCCAAACCTGTGTTGTGTGGTCTGGCTTCAAAGTCTGTTTTCATAACCACCACACTATGTTGTTTCTACGTCTTATAGCGTTACTTTATTTTAGGTATGGGCAAACTGGGCCAAAGAGTGGCTCCACCCATTTTTTTTCCCCTACACCCTCGGAAACCCTGTACAGGGTCGCTATGGGTCGGAACTGACTCGACGGCACTTAACAACAACAACAACACAACCTATTTTTATAAATAAAATTTTATTGGGGTGCAGTCACACCCATTCTTAAGCATAGATTATAGCTGATATCCTGACAAAGGTATTGTTCAGCAGTTATCTGAAGAACCATATGGCTTTGTTGGTGGTGGTGTTAAGTGCCGTGGAGTCAGTTCCGACTCATAGTGACCCTGCACAGGTAAATCTTTACGGGAGCAGAAAGCCTCATCTTTCTCCTGTGGAACAGCTGGTAGTTTTGAACTGCTGACCTTGGGGTTCGCAGCCCAATTCCTAACCACTACGCTACCAGAGTGCCTTTAGAAGTCTAAAATATTTACTAGCTGACCATTTCCAGAAGTTTGCTAGCTCCTCATTTGTTTGATTCATGTCATCTGAAGTTGTTTGTTTGTTTGCTCGCTTTATATCTCTTACATGAAACTAGGTTCCATGGTCCAGGAGAGCAGGGATCTTACTAGTTTTGTTCATCCTGTATACCTGCCTCCCAACACTTTGTAGGTGCTCAGTAAATATGAAGGGCCTTCAAAGTGTGAGGGGAAAATTCCATTATCTTTTCATTCCATTTTCTCACTCACGTTTTGAAGCCCTCTCACATCTGCTCATTGAGGTGGCAGTTTGCTGTGATTATCCTTAGGCCCGGGGACTCTTTTCTTAAACTCACAAAGCAAGTTTCTTAGAGAAGGCTTTCTCCTTGTGATCTCTAGGTTTGGCGATTGCTATGTTAATGCTGGTGATCTTTGGAGTGTTACTTCATGAAGTCCCACTGAGTGGCCAAGATGAGGCCCCTCCCGAGGAGGCTGTGGGCGAACCTCTGCATGACTATGCCGGTATCCGCCTCCCAGAGGAGCACATTCCCTTCTTTTTGCACAACAACAGGCATATTGCCACCCTCTGTAGGAAAGACTCACGGTGTCCTTTTAAGGTAGGTATGAGTTCCTGTTTATTTTTAGGAGGATGCAATTTCGGCTGGCTTAGTAATTCTGCTTTGTAACCTGGCCTTGAAGGTAAAATTCTAGCTTTCCTTGTTACTGTAATTCCTTCGTTTTATGGATTTCATCAGATGCTTCCAGGTTGTTTAAAATTTAGGTCTGATTCACCGGGGTAAAATTTAAAGTTTACATCCTCATTGATCACATAAATAGGCAGCCAATAAATATGATTTGTGCCTTCTGTAAATGAGCAAGGAGTCAGTTGTGTGCTCTAAGAAGACATGCTTAAAGCTAAAGTCTGTCATGCGGTTTTCTGTGTGTCTTTCTTTCTTTTGCAGATTCTTTTTTAAAATTTTATTTTAACTTTCATTGTGAATTGGGTGAAGGTCTAGCAGTGTTCCATTTAACAACTCTTAACACATTTGGTTTCATCTCATTGATTGGGGTCCCCACAAAGAAATCATTTATTCCATTTCCTCCCTATGTTACCCATTTCCAGTCCTCCCCCTTTCCTCATCCTTCTCAAATTTCTCCCCTCATACCTTCCTTAAAGAGTATCTCAGAGGGTCCTTTAGTACTTCATTTCATTAATAACACCTCTGTCTCTGTCTCCACATAATTAAGACAATTACCATAGTCTTCCCTTTGTTTTAGAGGAGCTGGAAAGGCTTCAACTTGGAACCCATTAAGATGTCTCATGGGGCCTCAGAGATCAAAGCTGGGCATTGTAAGGCACTTCCTTTCCCATGGCCTTGGCATAGGAAACAAGTGGGAATGCAGACCTGGGAATCACAGCAGTGTTGCTCCTGGAGGAACATGCTAACCAAGCTCCTTGGCCACAGCAGCTGCCGTAGATGTTGTCCCTGTCTTCTGGGGCCTGTGTTGCTCTTGATGATGAGTAGAGTGGCTGCTTCATTCCAGTTAGCTGTGGGTCTTTTGTCAATGGAATTCCCAATTTTGATGACTCTTTAGGAGATGGACGATAGAATGTATTTGTTTGCTGAGAAAGCCTGTTCCAGTAGTTACTGCAAGACATTGTAATTCCAGTGATCTCTAGTCGTCAAGGTCCCAGTGGCACAAACGATTTGCTTTCAGTTACTAACGTAAATGGTGGCGGTTGGAAACTTACCCACTATCCCACAGGAGAAAGGCTGCCAATCTGCCGCTGTCAGGTTCACAGCCGAGAAAACTCTACGGAGCTGCTCTCCTCTGTACCACCACATGGGGCCTCTGTAAGTCTGAACCAGCTTGGCAGCAATGGATCCTTTTGTTTGTTTTGATAGTTGAGGTAAAGCTTAGACTTTCGGTTTAGGGCACACACATGGTGGAGTGAGTGATTTAAGAGACCATTATTCTTAGAATTTATTTACTGGAGTTATTTTCATTAGTAGCGTCTGTCAGTCTGTCGTATTGTGGAGCCCTGTATGCAGCTGTGATGTTGGAAGCTATGCCAGGAGCATTTCAAATCCACCAGGGTCACCGATGGTGAACAGGACTCAGCAGAGTTTCCAAACTAAGACAGAATAGGAAGGAGGTCCTGGGGAGCTACTTCCAAAAATTCACCACTGGGAACCCCATGGATCCCAACAGAATATCGCCTGATACAGTGCTGGAAGAGAACCCCCTAGGTTCAAAGGCACTACATAACACCCCAACAATGGATTCAACCATACCAACCATCATGAAGGCAAAGTTTTATTCTGTTATGTATAAGGCTGCCATGTATAAGACTGTTAAATCGAGGCTACTGGAAGACAATGGCTTGAATACCTCTTTTAAAATGTAAAGATAGAGTTCTAGAAAAGATTTTCTTCATGGAATAATCTAAGGCGTATTGCTAAATGTCACGAGAGGTGGTGGTTCTTGTGGTTAGGTGCCATCGAGTATGTACCAAGTCACAGCGACCTTATGCAAAGCAGAACGAAACACGGCCCGGTCCTGGGCCAACCTCACTACTGTTGCCACACTTAAGCCCATTGATCTGCCACTTGGCCAATTCACCTCGCTGGGGGTCTTCCTCTTTTTCTTTGACCCTCCACCTTATGAAACATGATACCCTTCTCCAGCGACTGCTCACTCCTGACAATATGTCTGAAGTATGAGAGATGAAGTTTGGCCATCTTGGCCTCCAAGGAGCACTCTGGCTTCACTTCTTCCAGCACAGATCTGTTGGTTCTATGGGCAGCGCATGGCATTTTCAATATTCTCCTCTAACACCGTAACTTAAAAGCATCAATTCTTCTACAGGCTTCCTTATTCACTGTCCAGCTTTTGCATGCATATAAGGTTATTGAAAATACCATGGCGTGGGTCAGGCGCACCTTAGTCCTCAAGCTGACATCTTTGCTCTTCAACACTTTAAAAAGGTCTTGTGCAGCAGATTTGCCCAATGCAATACGCCGTTTGATTTCTTGACTGCTGCTTCCATGAATGTTGATAGTTGATCCAAAAGAATGAAGTCCTTGACAACTTCGGTTTTTCTCCATTGATAAGAATGTTGTTTATTGGTCCAGTCGTGAGGAATTTTGTTTTCTTTACATTGAGTTGCGATCCATACTGAAGGCTGTGTTCTTTGATTTTCATCAGTGAATATTTTAAGTCTTCTTCACTTTCAGCAAGCGCGGTTGTATCATCTGCATATCGCAGGTTGTTAATGAGTCTTCCTCCAATCCTGATGTCACATTTTTCTTCATAGAACCCAGCTTCTCAGATGATTTGCTCAGCATACAGGTTGAATAAGTATGGTGAAAGAACACAACCTTGTCGCACACCTTTCTTTATTTTAAACCATTCACTGTTGCCATGTTCTGTTCGAACAGCTGCCTCTTGGTCAGATCTTAATGTACCTACTTTTATATTCCAGAAACACTTAGAAAATCTGAAGTACTGCTGGGGGTATGAGAAATCCTGCAAACCAGGGTACAGATTTGGTTACCCTGTATGTAACTACGTTGACATGGGATGGTAAGTTACTATAAAGACTACCGTCTTCTGCTTTAAATCTTCTTTCTCTTCAGTGTATGTTAATGCTGTAATTCCCAGATAGACTTTCTTTTGGTTTTAGATAGTAATTCATTTAGATATTAATTGACTGACACAGTCATGAGTTCAGTTTGGCTGTTTCCCACTAGAACAGGAATATCTGTCATTGCCTTTGCCAGAGGGTGAAAATTCACAGAAAATGTTTCTCCCCCAACTAAAGCACACACAGTCCCTAAGTGGTACAGTGATTTAGGTGCTCACCTACCAGCTAAAAGATTGGTAGTTTGTACCCACTCAGAGAGGCCTCAAAAATAGATAGGCCTGATGAGCTTTGAAAACCTTTCAGTGCCGTTCCACACTGCACACATGGGGTCACTATAAGTCTGCAAGAGTAAGTAAAAAATTATCTGCACTCTGACTCTAGAATTGATTTTAATCATCATTTAGAAAAGACAAACACTTCATTTTTCGACAAAGTCTCCTAGCTTTTCAATACACTTTGGCCATCTGTCCCTTATTAAAAAAATGTTTTCAGCTGAGCTGCAAGCCATGAATGCACCACTGTCTTCACTTCTTCATCAGAGTTAACTCTTCATCCTCAAAAGACTGCTTACAGGGGACCAAACAGGTGAGAGTCTGGTGGAGCAAGATCAGGACTAGAGGGAGGAGGGTTTAATACTCAAAATGAAGTTTTAGCAGAGTGTCAACAGTGTGGGCAGAGGTGTGTGGATGTGCATTGTCATGCAAGATCACAAAGCCCTTGGACAGCAGTCCTCTACATATAATCTGAAGTTAAGACTTCAGCTCTTCAATGAGCATCTTACTGTAACCAACACTGTTGATTGTTGAACCTTTTCCCTGATAGTATTCCAATACTAGACCTTGAGAATCCCAGAAAACTGACTTTTGAACTTTTTCTTGGTCAGCAATTGAGGAGGTTTCCATTCCATACTCTACCGTTTACTCTCAGGCACATAGTGATGAATCCAGTCTCCTCACCAATAATGATTTTTAAAACAAACTTATCTTCCTGCAAGTATTATTCCACACTTTGTCAGCAGATGTCCAAATGCTTGTATTTATGGTCTTCTGTGAGTTGTTTCAACACCCATCCCGTGCAAACTTTTCAAAACCCATGTCTGTCATGGATTATTTCATAGTCAGAGCCATGGCTGATTTGCAAATGATTCACCACATTATCCACTGTCACTCGTCTGTTTGACACAAGTATTTCAGTTGCACACTCAATGTTATCATCAGCTGTGATTGTGGATGGGTGTTTTAATATAACTGTAGTGCAGATCATTTTTGACTCAGCCTTGTACGTTGACGTAACAGCAAATAAGAACAACAACAAAGAGCATTCTGGAGAAGATAAATTAATACTTTCTTCTTGGTTCTACATGGGAGTTGTTGTTGTTAATGCCTCCAAGTTGGTTCTGACTCATGGGGACCCTGTATAGGATTTCTGAGCAGTGGCTAGTGAGAGTTAACTATCGTTCGTACTCCCAGCAAAAGCCAGCTTAATGGGACAAAGAAAGTACTAGTAACTAGCCTTGTGTGCTCTTCAGTTCCAGCTGATACCACGTTTATTTATGGATTTTTTGTGCATTTTTATTTTCAGTAAATAACTTATTCTGATGAGGTCATGTAGCTAGGGACAGTTTGAAGAAGATTATAATAATAAAAACATTTACACCAAAGTAATGATTAACTGGGAGTCATTTAACAGACCTTTAGAAAGAAAATTCAAGGTCCAGGAGAAGTAAAAAAAACAAACTAATTTTAATCATTGTAACTTTTTGTTCACAATTAGGACCGACACTCTTGAATCAGCTCAGGACATATTCTGGAGGCAAGCTGACTTTGGGTATGCTGGTGAGCGGCTGGAGGAAGTTCATGAGCTCTGCCAGCCGGAGCAAACGGTGGGTGTTTTAGCTCCTTAAAAATCATCTCCTGTTCAGTTGTAATATAAACGCCTGACAGGTGGCACTTTGGAAGACATTCCGCACTCTCAGTTCTTTATTGGCTCAGTAGTTTTATTTTAACTTCCCAAAATAAGTTCTTCTATTTCATTTGGAAGCTATGACCTTATTTTCACACACTTATCAGATAGTTGTTGCTGTTGTTAAGCGCCGTGAAGTCGGTTCCGAATCACAGTGACCCTTTACAAGAAGCAGCTGGTGACTTCATACCAATGACCTTGTGGTAAACTGACCTTGTAGTCCAGTGCTTTATCTTACAGCGCCACACCAGAAGTCCTTATCAGATAGCGGTGGTGATGGTGGTTAGGTGTCATGGAGTCACTTCTGAGTCTTAGTGACCCTCTCTAGGGTTCCTAAGGCTGTAAATCTCTATGGGACCAGAAAGCCTTATCTTTCTCCTTTGGAATCGCTGGTAGAGCAGTCCAAATAGTACCCACTACGCTGCCAGAGCTCCTTTATCACATGGTAGAGAGTGCAGATCGTTAAGCACTCAGCTGCTTTCTGAAAGGTTGAAGGTTCTAATCCACCCAGATGGCCCACCAAAGAACAATCTAATGATCTACTTCCTGAAGATGTCAGCCATTGAGAACCCTCTAGAGTAGAGTTGTACTCTGATACACAAGGAGTCGCTATGAATTAGAATAGACTTGACAGCAACTTTTGTTTAAAAATTGTGAATTGAGTGAAGGTGTACCAGAGCAGTCATTTGGTTTACATTCGATGGTTCATACACGTTTGCTTTCATTTGGTTGATTACAAGCCTCTCAATGTTACATCACTTTTACCACTTCCTCCCCGTGTTGCTAATTTCCATTCCTTCTGCTTTCTTTTGAACTTTGTCTTTGTAAATGCTGCCCTTTTGATCCTTTTGATCTCAAGTCGTTAATTACTCTTTAGGTTGTGCATACCTCCCTAGTATTCCCGGTATAAAGCTGTCTATTGTTGGGCTGAAAAGTGAACCCTGGGGATGAGTTCAGTTCCAGACCTAAAGGGTGACTAAGGGCCATACTCTTGGGTTCCACCAGTCTCACGCTGACCAGTAGACCTCATTTCTTCTATGATTTTGAGTTTTGGTTACATTTTCTCCCTTTCTATCCAGGACCTTCTAATGTGATCCCTTTCAGAGCAGGTGGTGGTGGTAGCCAGGCGCCATCTTGTCCTTTTGATCTCAGAGTCATAGAGACTAATGCTCCTGCTGTCTGTCAGTTCATTGAACTAATGGTTTCCTTACGTTTTCATTTTTCTTCACTCTTCTTTCCTCAGGACCAGTAGTGGCACCTTAGATGGCCACTTACAAGTTTTTAAGACCCCAGTTGCTACTCACCAAAGTAGGATAATGAACACTGTTGATCTTGGTGTCTCCTGAGACCATGGTCCTGAGCCTCCATGCTCAGTTCCTTATTCACTTAAGGTGCTTGGTTATGTCTAAGTTCTCTTAACTTTTTCACCTGTGTGTTTTACTAAATACCTGGATACATTTTCAGCAAAAATAAATGCCCATATACCAGTATCCTCTGTCAAACTTATTTGTGGGTAAAATTCCACTTTCCCTTTTGTAGTCTGCTCATCCTGTATGTCTCTCCTTGCATTTGCTCTCCCTCCCTGAGTCCAAGGTCCCCAAGCATTACGTCTCACCACATCATCATCTCTGCCTCCTTCTCTGGCATCACTGCTTCTCTGGATAGGGTCCCCCACTCCGCTCTTCTCCCTTGATGGTCCCAGGGGTCTCTGCTCCTGGACTGCAAGATCAACCACTCCCCTCGTTTTGTTACAAAATGTCTACCTTTGTATTTGCAACATTCACAATCAGTCCTGTTAGCAGTTATTCAGTATTAAACCACAAAGAGCCTTATCCCCATCTCCTTTCACCAGCCCCATCCAGACAAGTTGGAAGCCACTCTGTGAAGATTCTATATTCCACCACACCCCCTGAAACTAAGCTCCCTCATGAAAACTTGTAATCCAGTCACTTTGTGCCATTGTTGCCTTCACCCACCCCCACCCCCATTTTGGGTAGCCAATGTCTAAATTGCCCATCCCTATCAACCCTGTGTACAGAGGGGGTGGGAATGATCCTTGTTGTAAAGATTCGTTCCCTCTTTCAAGCTACTGTATCCATAAGTATAGGGCAAGTTCATCAAATTGTAGCAGATCATACTTTTTTCCCCTCTTCTTACTTCCTCTAGTTGAGTTCTGATTATCATCCATTGAAGCTAGGTCAAATGGGTACTATCTGCAAGTATGGACGTTTTTGTGCATCTCCCCTCACTTCACATCAGCTGGACACTTTACTCTCTACTCTAGTCCTCTGTGGCTGTGTCCCTGTCCATGGGCTCCGGAATCCCCAGGTCTCGCTATACTGCTGGCCAACCAGGTCGCAATCCAGGTTGGCAGGAGTCTATTGAATGTGGTCGGATTTAGCTCACAGCTTCATGGCTGTTTTTCCTCCATTGCTCCTTATCAGTAGACAAGTGTGGTCACCAGCAGGATTACAAGCCTGCTTGTGTATTCACTTTGAGTTTCAGCCTTGGAAGGGGGTTTGCCCTGAGGGGACTTGATTGCTTGCCTTGATGGCTCTCCAGAGAAGAATTGATTGTTCTTGTTGTAGTCAATCTGACTGCCATTATTGTCTTTGATTTTTCCTGCTGGTCTTTGTTTCAAGAAGTATGGTCTGTTCCTGTAGCTGCTCCATGCTGGTCAGCTTGTCTTTTCAAGTAGGAATGTCCCACGGCAGAAGATCTGGATGGGGCTCAGAATTCCACCTATAGTCTTAAGCAATGCAAAGGTTCTGCAGGAAGCCTCTTTCATTGGTCAAGTTCTAGCCCCATTTTAAGTATTCCAGTCAGTTAGAGGGCTTACAAGCTTTCTCTAGGGATGTTTCTGGCCATTTCTTTCTCCCCGCTCACCAATGAAAGGGAAAACAACAACCTGGTGCCGCTCATCAACTACACCGCACACCAGATGGCCCGTCTAGAGACTTTTATTCAAGGTGAGGAAGAGGAAGGTGACCTCTGTCAGAGAGAGAAGGCAGGAGGCAGAAGAGAAGAGGAAGAAGAGAAGGCAGAAGGAAGAGGGCAGAAAGAAGAAGAGAGAAGTGTCTAGTTTACAATAGTAAGCAAGAGAAACTAAGATTCATAAGACAGTCAAGCATCTTAACATTATTTATCCCTCTTTTACCCATTCAACCCACGCCTCAACCCCGGTATCACAGAGCCCTGTTGTTTCAAGGTTGAGCATACATCACTATTTACCTCTGTCCCACTTAGCCTTTGCAAACCTGACTAAATGTTCTCCCATCTGAAGACTCCTTCCCTCTTGTTTGGAATTTTGAGCTAGTACATCCATAAGCAAAGGTCAAGTTCATCAAATTGTAGCAATTTGCACTTGCTTCCTTTTTCAAACTTCTTTGTGTTCCTCTAGTCAAGTTCTGAGTAGGAAGCCATCCAAACGAGGTCAGTGGGTGCTATCTACAACTTTGGGCATTCTTGCATGCCTCCTTCCACTTCAGATCAGCTGGCCGCTTCACTCTCAGCTGTAGCCCCCAGTGGCTGGATCAGTTTCTATGGGCTCGGGAGTTTCCAAGTCTCCCTAAACGTCAGACCATCCAGACTTTCCTCTTCTCTTTCTCATCTCAAGGTCGATGGGTGTCTATGGAATATGGTCAAACTCAGCCCATGTCGTCATAACTGCCTTTCCCCCACTTCCACTCACAAGTAGACTAAGGTGATCACCAGTGAGCTTGCAAGTCTGCTTGTGTGTTCCCTTTGAGTTTCAGTCT